TAAATAGAACATTTTTTTAAATGACACACACACAAAAGAGATAGAGGAGGAGACAGACACAGAGGAGAACTCCATGTGAAGATGGAGGCAGAGGCTGGAGAGATGTGGCCACCAGCCTGGAGCACCTCCCAGAAGCTGGGAGAGGCAGGAAGGGTCCTCCCCTGGAGACTTCAGAGGGAGTGCAGCCTTCCATATCTAGATTTCGGACTTGGAGCTTCTGGAACTGTGAGAGAATACATTTCTGTTGTTTAAGCCACCCAGTTTGTGGTATTTTGTTATGGCCGCCCCAGGACATTGACACAGATTTTGATATTGGGAAGCAGGGAGCTGCTGTAACAAATCCCTAAAAATGTAGACATGGCCTTGGAACTGGGTAATGGGTAGGGGCTGTAGATTTCCATGTGCATATTAGAAAAGGCCCTGAAGAGACTGTTGGTAGAAATATGGACATTGGAGGTGATTCTGGTGAGGGCTCATGAAGAGAGAGGAGCAGTACAGAAAGTTTGTATCATCTGGGAAAACATACACCATCGTGACTGAAATGGCTCTAGAAATGTGAATCCTGAAGTTCTGGGAAGCTCTCAGACAGAAATGAGGACCATGTTATTGACACTGGAGGAAAGGCAGTCCTTGTCATAAAGTGGCAGAGAACTTGGCCGAATTGTGTTCTTGTGTTTTGTGAAGGTGGGACTTGTAAATGCTGAACTGGGATATTTACCGGAGGAAATTTTCAAGCCAAATGTTGAGGGTATAGTTTGGTTTCTCCTTGCTGCTCACAGTGACATGTGAGGGAAGAGAGAGAAATTGAGACAGGAATTGTTAAGCATAAAGGAACCAGAATGTGAAGATCTGGAAAATTCTCAGCCTTATCTTATTTCAGGAAACAAGAAAGCATGCTCTGGAGAGAACACCCAGGTTGGACGACAGTCTGTAAAGGGCTGAGGCATGTCAGCAGAAGTGGGAGCAGAGAGATGAGGTTATCTAGGAAAGATCTGGAGGACCCTTGTGTCTTACAGCTTAGACCCTTATAAACTGCACAGGAGATCAACAAGGTTTTTGAGAATTTTATACCAGTAGGAACACTGCCAGCCTGGACTGAAAGAGACAGAGAAAGGATGGAAGGAGGAAGGATGATTCCAAAGGCAGATCAGTGGCTACAGAGGCCAGAGTTGGCACAGGCCCAGGGGGGTGGGCAGGATCGTCCCCTCCATTCCAGAGCCCCCTCCCCCTGCACCCCGCAGGCCCAGGGATTCTTCTCATGCTTTGAAACCTAATGACATTTGCCCTGCTGGGTTTTGGACTTGCTCGGCACTGATGACCCCTGTAACTCCTTCCATCTCCTCCCTTTTGGGATGGGAATGCCTGTCCTGTGCCTATCCCACCAGTGCATTCTGGAAGCAGGTAACTTGTTTTCTAGGTTCACAGCATGCATGCAGCTCCAGTGGGCTGTGATGGCACATTTGAGGAGGGATGAATGGAGAATAGAAGCCCTGGAGGACTGGGGACAGTCAGGGGTGTCACAAAAGTAGTAAGAGGGGCAGGTACAAGGGAAGAGTGGGGAGGTGACAGGAACCTTACCTGCAGTCACCGAGTTCTCTGGGCCTGTGGGGACAGAGAGTTGTGTCTGTTAGCGTGGAGGCTCCCCAGGGCCCGCAGCAGGGCAGCCTGGCCCTATGCCATGAAGTCAAGGTGGAGGGTCAGTCAGGCTCAGGGGCCAGGGTCTAAGCCAGGCTGACCTTGGCACGTTTGTTCCTGCTCAAGTCTAAATGATGTTCAGATGCAAAGCTCTCTGCTCCGGGAAAAGGGTAAATTGG